ATTTGCCAAATTTTCTCGAATCTAAAATATATTCAGTTCAGGGATAAAAGAAAAATTCCAAGTTTCGTCTTTTTGAATAAAAATATGAAAATATGTCTAAAAGGAATAGAACTGATACGTGTGGCCATCTTTGTTTCCAAATACAAGACTTTGATTCCGGATGAGTGTGAAAAAACACGACTTGTTTACAGTCGGAAGGGGACGGGGTTGAAAATAAAATGATCACAAAAAGTTTTCTCTTTTTTTTCTTTAGACTTGAGTTTTGTTTGAACAAGATATTATTCTATGAAATTTGCTTAAAGCTTTCAGTAATTACATTTTAAAATTTTAACATTTAACTTTATTCTGCAAATACCATCTAGACTATATTAAGAAGTATCTTTTTGCATAAAACATAAAAAATAATTATTTATACAAAATGTTTATTAATATCAGCTCTTATTAATAATAAATAAAAAACAATCTATGCATCATTAAACAAATTGAAATTTGTCTATGCATAATGTTTTAATCATCAACAAATCTTAATTATTGTTTATTTTTAAGTTTTTTCCTCCTTTATACGCAGATCATGTTTTTAAACATTATAAAAAACGTTTGCACTCTTAATTTCCCGGAAATTAACATATAAACAATTTACATGTATATTATCATATAATGAATATTATAATAAGTTTATGCATTGAACGATAGAAGAAACGACATCATCATGTTTAGTTATAACAATTTACATTTTTATAGAATAACAACAATTAAAAATTTTCAATGTTTAAGAAGACAAAAAAATGATTAACCAATGGCGGAAACAAGGGGGGGATACCTTCGACCCCCCTGACGGATTCATGGGGGGGGGTACCTTCGACCCCCCTGACGGATTCAGGGGGGTACCTTCGACCCCCCTGACGGATTCAGGATTCAGGGGGGGGGGCGATCCCCCCTGAGATTTCGAGACAAATTTTTTTCCAAATTTGATAAAATAATGTTCTTAATTTGATTAATCGAATGTACCCCCTTTTTAAAGTTATTTGAAGGAATTATGATAATAAATATAAAAACAAAGAACTTTCACATCATAGATGGGAAGAAATGTCGATCTTGAAATAAGGAACAAGAACAGGTAAGTTAAGCAATTTAGGATTTTAGGAACAAGGTCATAATAGGTTTTACAAAAAGGAACATTACAATAACATAAATGTTGGATAAGTTAGGAACAAAAAAAGTCCTAGAATAGGATCAATATAAGAGGAACAAAAGAACAAAAAATGGGAACTATATCAGGAACATTGACTATTGAGCTAGTTAAGAACACCGAGCAATAAATATACTAGGATTTTCATACATGCACTTAGGACATAAGAACAATAAATAAAATACATAATATAAGGAACAATAATATATTGTTAAGGAATTAGGAACAAAAATAAACGATTTAGGCCTAGAGACACAGTGTAAGGAATAGGAACAAAAATAGGAACATTAAGCAAATTACAAGTTAGGAAAAAAAGAACTAGGAAAATAAAACATGAAATAATAAACAAAACATGAAGGTACAGCCTACAGGTTTGTTAAGTAAGGAACAAAAAAAGAAAACATACATACATATGCGCAAAACACGTCATTCATACTGTACATGAATTAGTCAATAATAGGAACATAAAGCAAGTTAAGAACAAAAAGAAATTACTATGAAAGAAAATTAGGAACAATATTAAAATTTTGATTAATGAGTAAGAAACATTACTATGCATGTGCTGTGCAAGTTAGATAGGAACAATATTATAATATTTATTTTTTCATATTTTCATATTTTATTCAACTACAAAGCACGAGATAATACAAATAAAAAAATCACAATTTTCTATGTAGTTTGGACCCGCCTAACCAGAGTAGGTTGTTTTAATTGGTTGGCCCACTATAAACGAATGAGAATTGCAGATAAAAACAATGTACATTGTACATTTTAAACATAAGAATGATAATAAATCAGGTAAAAGGTAAGGAGGAGGTGAGGGAGTATAAAGAAAAGGGAGGATACTCAGCGTAAGGGTTGGAACAGAGGGTAACATAAGTTATTAGAATCATGTTTATGAACTACAGGGTGAAGAAGATAGTAAAGACTAAGTTTATCCACATGATACACAGTTTTTTTTTTTACAGATANATGTAATGGGAACTGAGCTCCAATGGAATGAGGGTGAGCTCCCACTGATATGTGGGCTGAGCTTCCAATGGAATGAAGACAGAGCTCCAAATGGAAAGGGGCCTGAATTCTTAATGAAATGGAGCTCCAAAAGTAATGGGGACTGAGCTCCAATGAAATGGGGGTGAGCTCCCAATGATATGGGGGCTGAGCTCCCAATGAGATGTGGACTGAGCTTCCAATGGAATGAAGACTGAGCTCCTAATGGAATGATGACTGAGCTCCAAATGGAATTGAGACTGAACTCCAAATGGAAATGGAGAATGAACTACAAATGAAAATGGAGGCTGAGCTCCCAGTAGAATGAGGGCTAAGCTCCCAATGGAATGTGGACTGAGCTCCCAATGGAATGGGGACTGAGCCCCAAACGGAATGGAGACTGAGCTCCCAATGTCATGGGGACTGAGCTCCCAATGGAATGGGTGACTGAGCTCCAAATGGAACGGGAGCTGAGCTCCCTATGAAACGGGGACTAAGCTCCCTATAAACTATGGACTGAATTCTGAATTCCCAATTCAGAGGGGACTGAGCGCCCCCCCCCCCCCAATACCATGAGCTTAACGCGTACAGCCTTGTTATTTTTATATCAAATATATTTTTTAAACTCGTAATAGAAAAAAGATAAAGAATAATGATCAAAATATATGAACCTGATGATACAAACAATATTTCTATTAAAGACGATTTTGTAGGAATGTCAATTTAGGTATTTAATGTTATTAGTTATTATATAGATATATAGTTAAGTATGTGTGTACGTATTAGTGTATGTGTGTGTTGGAGCAGGGTTGAATACCCTGAATCTAGGCTAGTAGTCCTCGTAGTACTCGGAGTAAGGACGGATTCAATATACGGCTTCAGCCGCACAAATCCTTCTATACACTATATAGATTATAGAACTAGAGTTCAACCAGGAGAGGGGGGGGCGGTGTACAACAAGGGGATTCTAACCATAAAAGGGGCATTGTGGAGGGAGTACCTTTAGGGGAGGGGTAATAATATCTCAGGGGTGAATGAGTACCTCAGGTAGGAAGGAGTAGCATTGAGAGAGAGTGAGGGAGTACCTCAGGAGAAGAGGGAAAGTCTCAGGAGAATAAGGGAATAAATGAGGGAAGGTCTAGAGAGTGAATGAAGATGAGAAGGAGGGGATTGCTTAGTTCTACCATATTGCAGGTCTCCTAGCAAGATTAAGGATCAAGTATTAAATTTGCATCTGCAGAAATTTGATTAAAGCATATTTTTATCTTTTCTCATTTATCTTGACTTGGATTTTTTTATTACAGGACTTTCTGTCCTTTGAAAAATTAATAAAAAAGTCAGAAAAACCATTTATCATGTTATCAGTTTACATAGATTTAATTTTTCAGTTCGGCTCAGCCTTTTCAGATTTTTATAGATCATAAACATAAAAATAGACAAGACAGGCAGCTAGACAAATACACAAAAAGACAAATAGACAGACAAACAAATATTAAGACATTCAAATAAAAAACAGACAGACAAATGGACACACACAAAAATGGACAGACAGACACTCAGACATGTATACAGTCAGACAAATAGCCAGCCAGACAGACAAACAGACAGACACACAGAAAAATAGACAGACTATAGCACAATGCAATTATTTTGAGTTTATAAATTTGTCATATATTTGACTTTAAACCTATCCGACATCCGTATTCCGTGGACATTTTATTTTATTTTGCAATCTATCACAGTTTTGCAATTCATTTCGTGTATTAAGTTTTGCAAATTCATAAATGTTTGCAAATTATAGTATAGGTTATATATCTACTTAAATTCATTCAGTTGAAGAATTAAATCAATCACGTTCAGTTTATCAACATACAAACACAGCTTTTCATAACAATTCAAGGAACTTAATCTCTAATTTCTCCCCCTTATACCTTTGCAACCTGATGGTGTAAATATTTGATATGTCAAGCTTGATCCAACAAAATTCATAGTTTAAAATATCAAAGGTCTACGACTTAGAGTTGTAAAGATATCGGAATGGAAAAATTAGAGTTTGCGGCAAAAACTCATTTCCTTTTAACATTCTGAAACTGCATGAATACTCATTCTTGAATTTTTCTCCCTATATCTTAGCAATCTGATGGTGTAAATAATTGATAATTCAAACTTGGACTACTTGATTTGACAGAATTTTAAGTTCAAAATGAGATTATGTCAAGGGAATGCCAAATACCGTTTATGACACTTCAAGAATACCAAAATTAATTCACAAATCTTACCTAAAGTTTAACTTAAAACCATGAAAAGTTTGTTTTTATTATTTTCTAAATGTTACATCAAGGACTGCATAAATATAAACGGACTTATTCCATTTTTGTTCAGTATGTGAAAATTTGAGAAAATAAGAAGGAATCTCATTTCTTCGGAATTTGACAAAATTCAGTAATTTTCTTACAATTATTGTTTATAATCCCTCTGGTCGATAATACAAAGAATACCTTTTTTGACGAAAGTTTGCTTAATTTTCAAAAATAAACCGAGATCTCGCAATTAATTCCTATTTTCTAAACTTTATATTTTTTAACTTGATGTCGTAGTTCTTTGTTATTTTACACAATAAATTCTCCTAGAGTTTGAATATTAAAGAAAGTATTATCATGTTGCAAAGATAGAGAAATTAAAAAAAAGAACAGAGTTTATGGCAAGTACTTGATCACAGTTGAGAATCAAGTATTCATAAATGCATATTGCATCAGAGCAAAAAATCCATCTAAACAAATAAATGTAATCTGACTCTTGCTCTAAATAAAAACAAAAAACAATTTCTCTGAATTTATATTTATTTCAATGAGAAGGCATTATTTATATTCACCGGAAAATTTATTAGGTTCAGGGTTTAATATTCCCTTTCTACTATACCCTGCATACTGAGGAATAGGCTACAGGTAATCCATAAGTTTGGCAACAATCATAGATCAAGAAATATACAGATTTTGCAGATCAAAACCTTCAGTTTGTACACAAAAACCTTTCAGTGAAGTTTATTTGTTGAACTGTGTACATTGTACACTGAAAGTTACCAAATTGAAGACCACAAATGCGCCAAATCTGTACAATTAATTAACTATGGAATCTATACAAATATTGTTCATAACAGCAATGCTGCAATGTGACGGCAGTGAAATTTCAGTCTGTAAAAAATATGGAAAAAATTTCCATTTGTAAAAAAAACAAAGACAAAAGTGATCACCAGGGGGCACTGTAAGAGACAGGTAAAACCCATTTATAACAAGTACAATTAGTTTCATTTTGCTAGTATTTCATTTAGAAAGAATATAGTTCATTTACCAGTACAAAGTTCATTTAGCTAGTACATATGTTCTTTTAGCCAGTATATAGTCCATTTAGCCAGTACATAGTTAATTTACCAGTACATAGTTCATTTAGCCAGTACATAGTCCATTTAGCTAGTACATAATTTCATTTAGTCAGTACATGGTTCATTTAGCTAGCTAGTACATGGTTAATTTATCTAGCTAGTACATGGTTCATTTAGCTAGCTAGTACATGGTTTATTTATATAGCCAGTACATAGTTCATTTAGCTATAGCTAGTACATGGTTCATTTAGCTTGCTAGTACATGGTTTATTTAGCTAGCTAGTACATGGTCCATTTATCTAGCTAGTGCATGGTTTATTTAACTAGCTAGTACATGGCTCAGTTAACTAGCTAGTACATGGTTTATTTAGCTTGCTAGTACATGGTCTATTTATCTAGCTAGTGCATGGTTCATTTAACTAGCTAGTACATGGTTTATTTAGCCAGCTAGATCATAGTTTATTTAGCCAGCTAGATCATAGTTTATTTAGCTAGCTTGTAGATGGTTCATTTAGCTATCTACTACATGGTTCATTTAGCTAACTAATACATGGTTCATTTAACTAACTAGCACATGGTTTATTTAGCTAGCTAGTACATGGTTCATTTAGCTAGCTAGTACATGGTTAATTTAACTAGCTAGTACATGGTTTATTTAACTAGCTAGTACATAGTTTATTTAGCTAGCTAGTACATGGCTCATTTAGCTAGCAAGTAATGGTTTATTTAACTAGCTAGTACATGGCTCATTGAGCTAGCTAGTACATGGTTCATTCAGCTAGCTAGTACATGGTTTATTTAGCTTGCTAGTACATGGCTCATTTAGCAAGCTAGTACATGGTTTATTTAGCTTGCTAGTACATGGCTCATTTAGCTAGCTAGTACATGGTTTATTTAGCTTGCTAATACATGGCTCATTTAGCTAGCTAGTACATGGTTCATTCGGCTAGCTAGTACATGGTTTATTTAGCTTGCTAGAACATGGCTCATTTATCTAGCTAGTACATGGTTTATTTAGCTTGCTAGTTTATGGCTCATTTAGCTAGCTAGTACATGGCTCATTTAGCTAGCTAGTACATGGCTCATTTAGCTAGCTAGTACATGGTTTATTTAACTAGCTAGTTCATGGTTCATATTGCCATTTGTAAATCGAACTAACTATAATATCCGTTTCAAGAACATTCGAATCCGTATAAATGTTTCTCTAGGTGTCTAGCTATACACAGAGCTCAGAGAAATGTTTCTCGAGGTGTTTAGCTCTACACAGAGCTCAGAGAAATGTTTCTCGAGGTGTCTAGCTATACACAGGGCTTGGAGTAATGTTTCTCTTGGTGTATAGCTCTACACAGAATTCGGGGTAATGTTTTCTTGGTGCATAGCTCTACACAGAGCTCGGAGAAATGTTTTTCTAGGTGTCTAGTTTTATAAAGAGCTCGGAGTAATGTTTCTCAATGTGTAAAGATTTATACAGAGCTCGTAGTATGTTTTACACTAGTGTTTTCACTGGACAACTCCAGTCAATCGCTTCTATAATTGCGCTAAGGGAATAAAGGAAGATTAGGCAGCTACATCTCTTTCTCCTCTCTCTTCATCTTTGGATAAGTTTTGAGATCCATGAGACCGGAAAGTTGGGATTGGTTGAGATCTGACAACCCTGAGATCAAGGTAAATGGGGGGATATCTCATTCTCTGGGTTTGGATGAGGATAATGTGAGATATTTCCTGAGAGGAGAGGGAAGTCCGAGCTGTTTTGATCCACGATTTAATCTTTTAGGTCCGATACTTTTCCGTATGGAGTTCCAGGCTAAATACCGCAATTGCTGTGGCTCACTCCAGAATGGAATCATCGCTAGTCTGAGCTGAGCGTAGAGAGGTCCCAACACACGAGGATGCTTTCCTTCGCTCAGCATTATCCTGCTCACGTGGCTCTTCATCCTCCCTGGATCCCGACCCATCTCATGACAGAGGCAGGTTAGGGTATTATCTGCTCCTTCTAAACTATTAGCTTGAACCACGGCGCGTAGAAACCAAGTAAACGCTGACTGTTCTCGGTCATGATCCAGTGCGCTTACGGTTATTGGAGCTGACGGAGCCGGCCGGGGCCAGACCTGACCTCCGTGGTTTACGAGAACTCTGGTCAGCTCGGCGGATTTATCCAGGTAGGATACACTACAGGAGAGTAGACTCCGGTCCTTGAAGTTTATAGAGTTCACATCACAAGATTGTCTAGAAGAGGAGAGCATAAGCTGACAGATCTCTGCTGCCTCTTCCGTTCTTTCCTGAGGTAGGAGATACTCCAGGCAGTTTAAAGGAGTGTTACCCTGGGAGTCCCGTAGCTCCAGGCTAGCTCCGGAGCTTAGGAGTAAATCAACCAGGGGTAGGAGCGGAACAGAGGAGGAGTGCTCTGCCTGGAGTAGGGTGTGTAGGGGAGGGAGTCCTTGAGAACTTATTTGGTTTGGATCACAGCCATCTAGGAGTAGTTGTTTAATGTGTTGTATAGAAGGGGTGGAACTCATGCACTCTGTATGAAGAGGAGGAAGGTTTAGAATGGGTTCAGGGATAGGTTCAGATCCCACCAGGCAGTGCTCTATCAACTCACTTAATGATTTATCTGAAAATAAAATGTCATTAATTAAATCTTTTTTTCGCCCTTTTTTGGCCCAGAAGTAGTTGGCAATGTGAATTTTGGTATTCATTTTCTAAAATATGTGAGATTAATTGAAGAATGACGGACATTTTTTTCTTATAATCCCAGAAAAATTATGAAGATAGAAATTATTCCGCAGTGCATAAATCAAACTCAGTAAACAGTGGTTCCGTAAATTTTAAGTGTTTAAACCATAATATTATGATCCAAAGAAATTAAAATTTCATGTGATCCTTCATTTTCAGAGTTACATGTTCGATTTACATCCGTACCTTTGGTTCAGTATTGTGAGAAAAATTACGGAAGAATTTTTGTTTTCCTAACTTAAAATTGATCATTTTTTAAAGAGTATCTTTGTGAATTGGGCCATTTACTCTTTTATTTTGAGGGTCACTTGAAATTAAGGCGTTTTTAATAAAGTTTGTTAAAACCTAAGTATATTAGATAAGTGGCTACTATTAAACCTTCTTTTAGAGTTTATAATAATACTTACTAAGAAAATACTCTATATTATGTATCTCCGTCCTGCAGGGTTGGTTCTCCAGCTCCCTACTTTTACATCTGGTGGAGAGGGTTAGAACTCCGCCCTCCAGGATCAACTCCGACTCCTTGAACTCCGACTTGAGGGTGGGCTCCGAGGTCGGCCACCTCGCCAGGACAAGGTGTTCCATCCTTTCCTCGATCATTGGCATTCTAGTACTTGGATACATTCACATTCTTCAATCCTGAAAAAAATGTTATATTAAATTTCTAAACCTTACATCTTTGTAAACTTCAGTCTAAGGCTTTTGATATTGTAAATTATTAATTAAGTCAGATTAAATAGTGAATTAAAGGTTTGCACCATCGGTTTACGAAAATATAAAGTTTAATGCTAGTGAGAAGGATAAGAGAAACTGTGGAAGGTGTGTCCAAATATTTACTTATATTTTTGGCAAATAAACGATTTAAGCCTGCTTGCCCGAATTTGCACATAATAAACTAATGCCTTAAAATGGTTGAGATATGTTCTCTCATGTATTGATTTTTTAGCAAATGTATGCTTACTTATGAATCAGGGCGTACGAAATACAAATACAAAACCTTTGAACATATATTTACGAATTATTAAAAATTGCTACGATTTTTATAAAGCCGTTTATTTATTCAAATGTATAAGAAAGTGTTATAAAGCTGCATATAAATGTATATAAAAGTTTAAATGAAATAATATGTACATATAAGAAAGTATATATGAAAGAAGATATAAAAAGGAGATTTGAAAGTATATATGAAAATATATATGAATGAAGATATGAAAGAAGATATGAAAGTATATATGAAAGTATATATAAAAGTATATATGAAAGAAGAAATGAAATAAGATATGAAAGTATATATTAAAGTATATATGAAAGTATATATGAAATTATATATGAAAATATATATAAAAGAAGATATGAAAGGTGATATATATGAAAGAAGATATGAAAGAATATATGAAAGTATATATGAAAGTATATATGAAAGTACATATGAAAGTATATATAAAAGAAGATATGAAAGGAGATTTGAAAGTATATATGAAAGTATATAAGAAATATATTTGTAAATAAATATGAAAGTAAATATAAAAATATATATGAAATCTATTTGAAAGTATATTTGAAAGTATATATATGAATAGATTTATGAAAATTTATATGAAAATATATATGTATGAGTATATGTATAAATGTCCTATATATATATATATCCAGTATAGTGTAAGGTTGAACGAACTCTGTTATATTTAAAGAAATTTAAACCTCTCTCAAATACAATATATATTTCTGAAAAAAATTATATTCTCCCCCCACCCCCCAATTCAACTTTAAATATCATAACTATATCAAAACTATGACCTAAGTGAAAAATACACAACTCTTTTCTAAGACCTCTAATATTACACTGGATTTAGAATAAAAATTCATATATGCAGTTGCGTTACATACTTGAAAGTAATTCAATATCTACAAACTTATCATCTTGTAATAACCTTATGTGAATAACATATTTTTTAAATTATTATTCTTATTTGTTAACTATTACATATTTTGTTATATTTTCATAATTGTGGTTTGGCCGGGTTTATTATCAGCTGTTTATACACATATTTACAGTATACTGTATACTAGGGGTCATTGTCCACATAGGAGAAACCATCAATCAGACCCCCCCTCCCCTCTCTCAACAGTGACATTAAAATTATGATCCTATCAAATTAAGTGCAGTCCGACGGACAGTAATAAATCCACGAATATTTAAGTTTGCACATTGCACTCAATTATTTAGCTATTTATGATGCTTTAGAAAAATTTAAATAAAAATAAAATTGTTAAAATCAGTTAAAATAAAAAGTAAAATACGGGAAGGATTGTTGTTTAAAGAGAATAAAATGAAAATTTATACACTTTAAAATTTCATTTTGAGAAATAGCTTGTTAAAAGTTTTTTAAAAAGTATTTTTAAAATTCTTTCTCAATATGTATTAGGATAGTTGAGAGTGATTTATCTAAACAAAACTTAAATCTTAAATCAACAAAAAAAGATTTTAAAGAAGGTGTTAAACTTGGGGTTTCGTCAGCTTTTTTAGGGACAAATAGAATAAACATTTTAAACAGTACAATATTGAAGCTTTACAGAAAAGTAAAAAATTCAAGCCTCGATAATCTAAAATTGATATTTATTGAATTTTCATTTTAAAAATTGAAAAAATAAATAATATCCCCCACATAAAAAAAGAAAATAATTCCTTTTACCTATCATATATAGTTATGCAGTTATGAATGTGATTGAATGCAAATATTATATTTGACAGAAAATGTCAGATTTCACAAACTTCTATTTCAGTTTCAAAAATCTGTAGAAAAAATCCACGACAGGGAATAATTCAATTTTTCAGAGGATTTATTTTTCGAATTTTCTGTTTATCTCTCTCTCTCTCTCTCTTCTCTCTCTTTACCCTGTACTCACGTCTGTGAGTTCACTAACACGTAAACCGACAGATACAGAGAGGTCAAAGAACGGAGAAGAGTTTTGACCCGAACCCATCTCCAGGTACCCAACTATACTCACAATATATCCAGGATATACTCGAACCCAAGAAGGATACCAGGGGGGATCCGGAAAATGTAGTTTGTATCCACCTGAACTAAGAACAAGAATGAAGTCGGAAGGGAGGAGGTTGTCGGCGTGTGTCTCGAAGAACTGACGGTGGTTGACTGAAGCTGAACTGAGAGAAAAACTGGGAGAGAGTCTAGAGAGCTTCTGCTGCCGGCACAGAGTGAGACAGAGATAGAGCGGAGGGGGGGGGGGGGAGGAGAAACCCGGAAAAATTTTCAACGTGTTTTCTTATTTGACTGAAAGTACCATCAACGCATTTTTATTGCTGCTCATTTAGATGAAACAAATGATATTTAATAAAAACACTAATTGTGAATAAATAAAAATATGAAACTATTTAAATTTTAAAATTTAGACTTCTTCTTTTGAACAAATCGATTATGCAAGTTAAAAATTGCAAATTGCAAATTATTAATTGTAAAGAAAATTAAATATAAATATATGTAAAAAGAAATATTTTGGATAATATAATATTCAGCATAATTTCGCAATATATAAATGATTTGCACTTCATTTTGGTGATCGACTTAACAATTTTATTCTGCTAAATCCTAGTTAAAGATAAAAACTAATTATTATAGTTTTTGAAATTTTTGTTTTAATTTCGAAAAAAATACATCATCATTTTTCTACCTTTATATCTTCTCCTTCCAACTTCGTATTAAAAAAGCAAGATTTAGTTTTGATAAGAAAAATTGATGCGTTTATAATTCAGGAGCCCATTAGAAACGTTTAAAAACTTTTTAAAATATCAAGTCTATCGAGTCACTTCTAAGATATCCGAAATTTTGTTAACAATCAAGCTCATTTCAGATCTGTATAATTTTCCCCAGCATTAATATGTTTTTAACTCGTAAAATATTTATTACAATAACTGCAACAGATATATGTCATATGATTACTGGAAATATTAAACAATTACAAAATAAAATTGACAGTTTTTACATTTTTTTGTTATAAATACGTTAAAAACACATAATAATCATTTATTAGGTAGAATCATAGAGTATAAATAAAACGAAGAGGTAAAGCTTACCTCAGATGCACACAACTAACCTCCCTATTAAAATGTAAAATGTAGATAATTGAAAATTAGTACTGTATTGTATTAGTATTGTATACTGCAGTACATTCCAGTTCAGTTGTTTGTTTATGTTAATAAAATTATGACCAAATTTTGCATCGTGAAAAAGTGCACAAACAATTCTTCTTATAAAATGTGAGTTTTTTTAAAATACCAAAACATTGTGCATGGCTAGACCTTATAAGGTTGGGAGACTCCAAACAAAAAAAGGAGATATTAGTTAGCCAGGGGAAAAAACCAAGTTTGAAGAAAAATGCAACACCATTGCTCTCAACTTTAGGTGAATATGAAAATGAATTTACTGTATTGTTTAATTTATAATGTTTTAATATTTAACATAATTTAAAAAAAGAAGTCGCAATTAAAGATGCGTGCGCATCGTTTTTTTCAGTTCATTTGTTTATCATTTGTTAACTACCCATCCAGTTTTTTTTTTCTTCAGTTTTTCAGTAAAAGTTTGAATTTGTTTGTTCACAGAATAACAAGCAACTAGGGGGGGCAAGCACCCCCCCCTTAAGAAGAGTTGAAGAGGATAAAAATGTTTGAAATAAGAATGTTATTCAAGTTTTAAGCTAAAGGCATGCCCATAGAAAACTTAATATTTTTGACAGAATTTTTAGCTAATAAAATGAAAACCTGAAAATTGGAAAATTGTCAAATGTTTGCAGTCAATACTCTACAAGTGTACAGTGTTAGATGCATAAACATATCGTCATGTACACATCCGACCACTCTATTAATTAATTAATAGGAAAGTCGGTTGTGTACATCTGAGGTTAGCTTTACCTCTTCGTTTTATTCAGGTTTTATTACTCTATGCGTAGCATATACAGTAAACAGGGTGTTTATAAATATATGGCAGAGCCCCAATCCGATCGGAACTGTTTTTTTTGGACATTGAAAAATTGAAAATATCAATAAACAAAATATACTGCGAAAGTTTTATATCTTGGTTGTATTTCCATTCATAGAAAAGTTCTAGCTCTTGCTGAAAAGATTTTGAAAAAAAATAAAAATATTTAGAATTTCTAGCATATCACCAAATAAATTTCTAGCATGTCACCAAATAAATTTCTAGCATGTCACAAAATAAATTTCTAGCATGTCACCAAATAAATTTCTAGCATGTCACAAAATAAATTTCTAGCATGTTACCAAATAAATTTCTAGCATGTCACCAAATAAATTTCTAGCATGTCACAAAATAAAATTCTAGCATGTCACCAAATAAATTTACTTTTCTCAGTCTTGTGCGTCAGAATTACAGGTGAGCTACGAGGTCACAAAGTTGTATCAGTAATGTCGGATAATGTTAATCTTCTCCTTCTCTGTCTAGTGGAGAATAAACGGCAAGGACCTAAAATGTGGAATTAGTTTTGATAAGATAGTAAGTTTTTCAATCTAGGCTTTTGAAAAACAATTAATAAAGTTTTCTAAGATCTCTGTCACATTTTTATAATGCTATCCCATTTTTAACAATCATAGCTCGTTTCTCACTATAATTTTGCCTTTTTTTAACAGTCTTGCATGTTTTTTCTTTAAACAATTACTTACGTCACAAGCGCATGGGTTTCTTAGACTAAAACCGACAAACACAAAGATCCAATCGTTAAACTTATTTTTTATTTAAAAAGCAAAAACAAAAATAAACAAACATAAATAAAGAAGGTAAAATTTAATTTTTCAATAGTTATAAATGGTAGGATCGAAGGGCTCCATAACCTGTAGCTCATGTGAAACAAAACTGAAGAATTTAAAAACTTCCAGGGGTAGCAATGTTCTACAAAATCCTCTAAATATGACGGAACAACGCTTTTATGTTAGGATTGATGTAAAGACATATTTCTTTGTTATTTTGAACTTTAAAAAAAAACTTCATTAATAGAGGTAAAAAATGAAACAGAGTATGAAGAAATCAAGGTATATATATTATATTGAAGTACTATTATGTTTGTCAAGAGAACTAAAATTAACCGTCCTCCAGGGACTCCTAAAATAAAAAGGAAAACAACGGAACCTGTCACAAGTTTGCCTGAGGAAAAATGATAAAATTATGTTAGTTTTCCTCCGGATATAGATATTTTTCAATTGGAGTAAAACAGACTCACAGTCTGCAAATTGCATATTTTTTTCAAGATTGAAGAGCTACAATATCTTCCTTATTGCTACTCTGATAAAGACTTAAATGCTACTTTTTAGATTGTGCATGTAATTATGGCAGAGTACCTTTTTCCGGTTTTCAGACGTATTTCCAAGTGCCATGATTGATTCACAATGCTACATTTGTCTGAACATAAGATTATTATTTTCTCTTTTTTAATTGATTTGCTTTCTTTAAAAATGGACTGGGGGATTCCTTCTTTAGAGAGTGGAAGAATTGAACACTTTTCGCACAAGAAAAACTTCCACATTATAGATAAGATAAACGTTTAAAGAGTACCGTTGTGAATTGGACATGTTTCTCATTTTTAAAGATGAAGGGTCACTTGAAATTAAAACAAAAGTACCTCCAAATAGGAAAATCGATGATAAAGAAAGGTGGTCGTTCCAGTAAAAATATTTTACAAGTTGTTTATGAGCTATTTTCAATCTTTTAAAGTTGAGACACACAAATCGTTGGCTTTAGAGGTTTCGTGATTTTTTTTGGTATATACTAAGATTATACAGAGCGTCTCACATCATATTAGATAATCTCCAAGTTTTAATGCTAAAATACGCATATAGTTCTCGAAAACCTCAGCATGTTCTGCAAGAATTTTTTTGTATTAGCCTTATTTTATTTTTTAAAATGATTCAAATTTTCTGATTAGTCACGAAAATCGTATTTTATACCTAATGATGACGGTCTAATATGATGTGGGATACCCTGTACAATACAGGGTCATCTATAAAGAATAAGACTTCAAAGTAGAGTGTGAAGTTTCCAGAATCCCTGTCCTGTGTTACAAAAAATTTGAGAAAGTGACGAGTTTGAGGTCATCATTAAATTCTCACCCTTTGTGTAGTTAATACTTCTTTTTTAAAACTTTATTGAACAAAAAAAACAAGATAAAAAATGAAATGAAGATACATCAGAAACTAAACAAACATGTGTAGTTAATACTAAATCACAGACCGGATTGACTTCAAACTGATTTTAAGAAATAAATGACAAAAGTTTCATCAATATTGGCGCTAGGCATGCAATCTTTTGATCACTGTGAAATATGTACTAAAAACAAAGTACCCAGCGTCAGGGGGATATTCAGGAATTTGTCCAGGGGGGGGGGGTCAGCAACCGTTGGGGCCTGAAAACCCCGAAA